GATCTCGTAAAGGCTTAATTGTGCCTGGTACCCTTCCGCTGTTGGGACCACGAGGATTCAAAACACCTGCTAGCTTTGCTCGTGCTAGTAGCGTGTTCTTATTTTACTGGTTGGCCTATATAAGTAGTTTACAAGGTCCAGTTTGTCCCGGTGCAAGGGCAGAACTGGGGTCTTCAGGTCCGCCCGAACGATCGTTTACTATCCTAGTGACGTATTGTTGTGGGAACATCCTAACTACATTTGTAGCTAGCGTTCACGTGGGATTTCCAACACCACAACTGGTGCCGCGACCCGGGAGCAGATTGTGACCATTGTGAACTGTTTGTATGGCCTTCCAGTTTACGAGCTACCAAGAGAAGAAGAACAAGAAAAAGACAAGAAACATGGCGAAAGGACAACCGACGGTACCAGTTACGCCTGCCAAGTCTGGCGGAGCTCGCAACGAGAGTTCAAGCCCGGCTGCGCGCTTTGCAGCCGCCACTGAGCTTTCAGTGAGCTTCGACGACGAAGCGGACATCGGTCCGGACGCCCACGATTATGAAGATTACGAAGACAAGACGCCGGCCCAGAGCCAGGCGCAGCGACGCCGGAGACGGCCACGCTATCATCTGGGCTGAGCGGGGCGACCAGGTCCCTTTCGAGGAACCTCGCCGACGAGCTCGATGATGTTGCGGGACCGGAACCCGCCTACGAAGATTATGACGATGGGACCGAGGGTTCTAAACCTTCGGTGGCGAGTGCAAAGCATTCAGCACTGCTCAAGGCACCTCGCCCACCTATCAACGGTGATACACCAGCCGCCAAGCGCGTTCTCGACCGCGTACAAGCGCTGATGCAGAATGATGAGTGGATGCAGCGGTTCAAGCCCATCCCCAAGAAAAAGGTTGCAATGGCCTGCGCTTGCGCAGGAACTTCAATACCTAGGTCAACTCGGTTTCGACTAGCTAAGTTGCCGAGGATTCAGTTTCGCACTGTGTCGCTGGGATTCGAGAACGAGACGTACCCATCGACGATGTCGCTCCAAGATTGGAGTCCACATGAAGCCGGAGCTGCTCTCCAGAAATGGAAGAAGAAGCTTCGGAAGGCGTTTGGCGCTGTTGGCATTAACGCCGGAAAGCAGCCTGTGAGTCGACCGATAATTCAAGATGAAGATCCGTCCACGATTCCACTGCCGCAACCACCCCAACGACTCGTTCGTACTCCTCCGACCAAGCGTGGAGCTGAGCGTGGTGCCTTTGGCACTACCGAAGCTTCACCGTACTTTCAAGACTCGCAGCTGCCAAAGGTGGTGCCGGACGTCCTCAAGTCGACAGCGATGGTGCGTACATTCGACGAGGAAGATCCATAAGTCGAGTTGATGCGTCAGATGAATGAGCTGGCGACGCTGAACGACGTGGACCCGACACCGAGGATTGAAATGGCATCGCATCGACCATTGGATCGCATCACGCCGTTCTCAGGATCTCGCAACAAGAGCGAGAACTGTATGCAGTGGCGCCGTGGGTGCGTCTATGATATGACTGGAACCCACACAGATGCCGATAAATGGTGCATTCCATTTGAGCTAAATCTCCGAGACGGAGCCATTCATTGGTTCCGTCAACTTCCGAAGAAGACGAAGCACAAGTGGAAGCTGCTGAGCGATGCGTTCATCCGCTACTACTGCTCGCAGTTCACGCAGACGGCACTGTCGCGTTACTACTCCGCCAAGCGGGAACGAAATGAACATCTGTGCGACTACATAAACAGGCTGAACGGCTACGCTCGGACCGCCCGTCTACACTTTGAGAAGAGTGGTCGCGACGCGAAAGAACACGTACAGCAGTTCCTGGCAACATGCGATGATGACAAGCTGGCGGAGAGTCTCTACCACGCTCGAGTCGCCGACATTAACGAGCTCGAAGAGATCATCGAAGATGTTCTCAAGGGCAAGGAGAGAATGGCCAAGCGTGACAGTGAGTACCCATACTCCAAGAGCCGTGACGCGAGACGCGACGATGGGTACGCCCGCAACAATCGGCGTGATGACCGTCGCCGCGATGACAACCGAAACAAACCAGAGTGACGCTCATTGAAGCCACGATGGACGGCCTACTAGCTGAATTAGAAGGTCGTGAGCTGCTCAAGGGGGCACGAGTATTCAACGAGGATCGACGCTTACGACGATGTCACGATGAGTACACGACTTCAG